ACCCAGCTTCCCCAAACCACTGTGTAGTTTTTAAAGCCAGGGAATTAGCATTGATAAAATGTTAACTGATCTACAGACTTTATTCCGATTTGGCAGTAGTCAACTAATAGCATTTTTTCCAGTCTAGGAGTCAGTCCAGGAACCCACATTGCATTTAGTTGTCCTGTCTTAGTCTCCCCCAGTGTGGGACAGATCCTCTATTTTTTAAATTTCCGGACCGACCCTGGCACTTTTGAAAGTGTACTGGTCGGTTATTTTGTAGACTTTTTATCTTTAAATGCATCTGGTTTATGTATGCATTTAATGTTGAGATATGAGGCTTTTCCTTTGTGTCACAATTATAAGCTATTTCTTTCAAAGAAACTTCACTGTGTTATTGCCAATTATTAGGACATTTTTGAATGAAGAAAGGTGATGTGACGTCGTTGGCCTTTGTTTAGAATCATAACTTGTCCCAGGCAGAACGGCCTTGCGTGTCCTCTGGTGGTCCATCGCCCTGGCTCCAGAGACGGCAGCATCATGGGGTGTGTGTCTGCTTGTCCTTTGTTCTTTCTGCTTCATCATCCCATTGTCCTGAAAGGCCGATGCACAAGCATTCAGAAATGTATTGACTTAAAGATGTTTTGTCCTTGAACATTGAAATTTTGGATAATCGATGATTCATTTGATCTTTGTATGAAATCAACTTTGCTTTCCTCTAAGATAGACTATTGCATGTAGGTCATAAAGGAAACTTGGCACAGTCCCTGGTGATGTTTTTGTTTAACTAAAATGCCACATCTCTTTTCTGCAGCTCCCCTGCTTTGCATGTGGATGTTTGGAAGCAGCCTGAGGAACAAAGATTCTCATAATGCTTATGAAACAGAAATGTTAACATACAGACTTATTTTAGGTCCTCTTGGCCTTTGTAGGACTAACACAGCTCTGTGCTTCCTTGTGCTCTCTTGGATGCCATTTAGAAGTTGGTACACAATGGCTCCTTTGGAGGTCATTGACTCTTTTTTGGGAGGGGGTATTATAAAAGGCAGGCATTAACTTCTGAGCCTTTTGGAAAGTTGGTATTTTAAAAAGTCCTTACTCTTAACAGTAAGCTTTATGAAAGCTTGTATAATTTTCCCTTGTAAGTAAGAAAGGTAAATAACTATATCGTCATGAAACTCTTCCCACAAATAGAGTGACTGTTAATTCCTGTAATTGGATGGACTCCATTTTTTGGCCTCTCACTTTTCATAGCTCTGTGTTTGTCTTAATGTGTATTTTCTCTTTTTACCCAGTGTTTTGCAGTTTTTGGCCTCTAACCTTTTATTTATTTACTTATTTAGGCCTCTTACCCATTGATGTGTAAAAAGTAATTGAAAGCAAGGTATATGACAATGTAGAAGAGTCTCCATTTTACCCTTGTTAGACTGTGGTATTTGCAATAGATTTGTATCTCAGGAAAAGGAAAAGGAGTTAGTTTACACATTTGGTAAAGAACGTAAACTCATGAATAAGTTCAAAATGAAGTGAAGTATACCTTGGAAGATCCCTTAAGTCAGCCAGAATATATGGCATATGTGGTGACTGTACACAGCCCCCCGTGTGGTAATTATTTTTGTGAGACTGCAGCTTATGATCCACTGAGCCAGGTTCAGAGATGGCACGCATTTTGGGCAGATACCTGGGTGTTCACACCACTTTGCTTCCATGAGAGTCCCCAGCGTGGAGTGGGGATTGGAAAATCCGTGTGACCCTGTTTATGCCATTGCCATTATGCCTTTCATGCAGAGACTCCTTATCTTAATAGTTGTTGATTGGTTTATTCATTTGGGGAAGTACTAAATGAGATAATACATATGGCAGGCTCTAATACAGGCATGGGCATAGTAGAACAGTGCATACTCAGTAAGTCTTTGATGGCCTTAATCCTGACCTAGCTTGATCTGTTCCAGTGTCACACCGCATTGGAAAAAATGTCCAGAGAAACCTGTCCACTGCTTCCTGCCTTCCCAAATTGGCATTCCTGTTGATGACCGTCTTTGAGAGCGTTCCCTCTCTCAACCCCTTGTGAACCAGAGTTCAGAAAAATGTTCGTGAATTAAATCATGAATATTCAAGTTACCACAAGGTGGCGTCAGATCATTTCAAGTAATGCCAGATAGGGGGAGCCTCAACATAATAAATCTTTCATTTTAAAAAAGTTAAAATATATGCCTTTCATGTCATGGTATTTAGTTATTGTAAACAAACCTCTCATTTCTTTTCCCATTCATGATCTCTTGTGTTTGGCTAATAAAACCTTCATTTTACTTGTTATTTACAAGCATTGTCTGTTGAGTGACCCTTAAGTATTTTATGATGACACCTTTCCACAATTTCTCATCTCCTTATTATCCCTTAGTTTGATTTATTTTCTCCTGATATGTTTATTTTTTTCTTGTTTTTTTTTCCCCAACTAACACGTAAACTCTGTAAGAGGCTGCAATTTTATTTCATTACTATATCCTCAGTGCCTAGAACAGTGCCTGGCATGGTAGGTACTCAAAACCTCTTAAATGAAGAATTTTCACTATTGTTTCAGTCAATGCTCTTTGGCTTAATAAGAAAATCTTAAAATTATGTTAAAGTGTGAAGTTTCTGAGTTCATAATCTTTGGGAATTTTACTGATAATTTAGTGAAGCAATTAGAACTTGAAAGCTTTTATCAGTCTCCTCCTCTGGTGGTTACATTTCAGATCTCCTCCATAATTTAGTAATCTTCCTACAACTTACAGTGTATTTGTAATATTCATTCAGGGTGTATTGATGAATGCAAAACGAACAGACTAGGACTAGTCAAGGAAATACTTTCAGACTTGCATTTTATCGTGGGACAAAAGTTTCTATTCACACACACAAACACACAATTCAAGGGATCTGTGTGAAGCTCAGATACCTTCCTTGCTTGAGGGGTGCTCTGTAAGTGAGGCCCCTTGCAAGGAACAGAATAGCTAAACCTCATCCTACCTAATGGACACTATCTGAAAGTTAAACTTCAAGAAAGCAGTGGCCATAATTTTGAGCATTTTTTTCTGGAGCAAAAATGAATGAATGAATGAATGAATACTTAAAACTCAGTTTTTTTGATTACTCATCAAGATTGCAGTTGCCAGGATGGGCATGATGAAGTGTCAAGGCTACTGAGGGCTGACCAGAGAGAACTGATCATCTGTTCCCTTCATAGATCATTCTCCAAACAAAATAAGGTTTATTTTCTAACTTGGCCCCCTAGGGAGCGAGGTTCATCTTCCTAATCGTTCATTCATTCAGCAAAAATTTATTGAGTGCCTACTATATGTCATACACTGTGCTAGTGGCAGAGATACAGGAGTGACTGAAATAGATCATATTCCTGTTCTCATAGAGTCTCTGTTCTCATCCAGTGTCTTTTGGGGCCACAGATATCTTTAATAACGTAGGTAATGGACCCTTTTCTGTGAAATCAGTTAGCCCACCCCCGGGGGGGGGGGGGGGGGGGGGGGGGGGGGGGGCAGGTACCTGTGTGAGATATGGGAGACCCACACCCTGGGTAACATATACCACTTCCTGGGGTTCCAGAGACTTGAAGCTCAAGTTCATCAAGTAGAAGGCCCCCTTTTCCTGCTCTTCAGCCTTTTCACTGCTCTCCTTCCCCTTCGGCACTTGTTGATGTCTTGGATAAGACTTCCTGTCATTTTCTTTGCAGGTTTGATCACATGATGAAGCAGTGTAAGTCTTTGGGCAAAGAGCCCAAGGAGTGCTCTGCAGGCTTGGACCAGGCGCCCCCTTGTCTTATGGGGAAGTCACTTTCACCCCTGAAGTCTTTCTCTTTGCACCTGAGCAATAGAAAGGGTTGGATTTCAGTAATTCTGAGGTCATTCAAGGGTAGGTTAGGTAGGCAGGTTTAGAAGGCAATAGAAAATATCTGTGGGTAGATTATAATCTCAGTGCTAACTAGCTGGGTGATTTTGAGCAGATTACTTAGTTTATGCGGGCCTTATTTTTCACATGTGAAAGGGAAAAAGCAGTATTTACCTCATTGTATTGTTTTGAGAATTAAAATGAAATAATGTATGTAAACTGCCTGTGACAAAAATGATAGCTTTTGCCAGCCTTCTTTTATCCAAATTGTCTTTCTGGGCAATTAATAGATAAATGATCATTGAGCACCTGGAGTAGACTACTTCTGATTATTTTCCTCTGATGCTAAACCAGCTGCCAGGCAGTAGTACCCAATCATAGTGGAAGGTTCACTGTGTATTAGGCCTGGTTTAATTTCACGCCTCTCCCACTAACTAGCTGGGTGACCCTAAACTCTAACCTTTACCCAGTTTCTGTTTCTGGCAGATGAAGTAATGATAACATATGACCCAGCCACAGCAGAGAAGCTGTTTTGGGATTTAAACAAGGTTATGTAGGGGCACCTGGGTGGCTCAGTCAGTTGAGCATCCAACTCTTGATTTTGGCTCAGGTCACAATCTCATCGTTTGTGAGATCGAGCCCCACGGCAGGCTCCATGCTGACAGCATGGAGCCTGCTGGGGATTCTCTCTCTCTCTCTCTCTCTCTCTCTCTCTCTCTCTCTCTCTGCACCCATCCCCCCACCAACCCCCCTCTCGAAATAAATAAACTTAAAAAAATAAACAAGAACGTGTAAGTGAGTAAAGCATGTAGCACAGTGCCTGCTACCAAGGACACTCTTCATTTAGGCCAGGCTGGTTCCATACTAATAGTAATACTTATTAATTAGATTAACCTCACCCTCCCTTCTCTGCCCAGGGCTGTGTTGGATCTAAAGGTTTCCCCTGGATTTATACAAGTTGAATTCATGATAGCTTCTTACTTATATAGGCCCAAGTAGTACAACGAAGGGCCTTGATTGAAAACTGGCCTTAGAGTTGCTTGGAAAATATTTACCGTTCCTGCAAATAACTGTGGTTACTATGAGGTAGTTCATTTTGGTGAAGGATGAATGGTAATTCTTCTTTATGTGTTTTCATTTAGTATCCCAACCCCATGGATAAAAATGTCATCTCTGTAATAACTGTGGAGGAAAAAAGAGGTAAGTTCTCTGAATATACCTCACTTCAGTGATGATCATTAAGTAATAGTGATGTTTGTCAAGGTGTGTGTGTGTGTAGCCTATTTTTCTTTTTTCTTTTTTTAAGTTTATTTTTTATTTTGAGAGAGAGACAGAGAGAGTGAACGGGAGAAGGGCAGAGAGAGGGAGAGAGAGGGAATCCTACGCAGACTCCACACTGTCAGCGCAGATCCAGATGTGGGGCTTGAACTCACAAACTGTGAGATCATGACCTGAGCTGAGATCAAGAGTCGGACGCTTAACTGAGTGAGCCACCCAGGCACCCCAGCCTATTACCTTTTAAACAGATATGAGAACAGGTGTATTTCTGTATTTGAGGTGACAGAGAAGAATACCCAGCATTTAAAGCAGCAGTAGAAGTCTTGTTTAATATGCTTTTGTCACTCAATTAATGACTGATGACAATAGTAACAGCCAACATTTCTGAGCACTGAATATGTGCCAGGCACTCTTATTAACTCCTTTAATCTGCAGAATAATGTTTGGGATATGTATTATTATTACTGCCTTTTAATGTATGAAGAAATCAAGGTACTGAGAGGTTAAATAAATTGCCCAAGGTCACATGACTATATCCCTATAATATATTCATGTACCATTGTATATACGACAAAACATTTGTGATTAGTAGCATGTATGTAAGATGTGATTGTAAAGTGATTATATTATAGAATATGATTCCATATTGACCAGCGCAGGGGTGGGCCAGCTATGCTTGTCCTGCTTGAATTTGTGAATAAAGTTTTATTGACATACAGCCGTGCCCACTTGTTTACATATCTTCTATGGCTTCTTCTTGGCGACAAGAGCAGAGTTAAGTTGTTGCAACAAGACTGTTCATACCATAAAGCATAAAATATTTACCATTTGGCCTTTTACAGGAAAGGTTTATTCACCCCTAGACTAGAGCGTAGGAGTCTCCACTGCTCTCTGTCATTTGTATTTCCCTGGAATAATTTTTCACTGTCATTGCCTGGACTTGAGAACTGGGCCACATAGGAAGTTTTGGTGAGGCACATAATCAGTATGTAAACATTTGGAGACACCCAGGCCCACTTCTGACACACTCTTGAGCCTTCTGAGAAAATGTGTGAGATGCCACTGTTTGTTACGTGACTCTGAAGTCTTCTCTGTGCTTGGTAAACACAAAAACTGTCTTTTGCTTGTGAAGGTATTTTCTTTGTGTCCATACTCTATTAATAGATTTTAGAAAACATTTTTTTCATGTGTCTGCACTCAGTGTGAGAGAAACTTGTAATGGGGCATCAGAGAAATCTGGTTCCAAGCCTTGATTTTGTTACTCCCTGCATGACCTACCTTCTTCGAGGCTCTGTTTCTTCGCTTATTAAATGGGAAAATAATATTAATCCTGCTTTAGGTTGTTATGAAGATCAAATGAAAGAACAATATGTGTATTCCAAAGTGGTATAGGAACATTAATTATGATTTATACCATTGACGGGAGCATCGTTGCCTGCAGGAGTGGCTAGTCCATTTTAAGTGGATGTGCTGCAAACATTGGATAAGCTGGCTGAAGGAAGGCCAGTGGGCAGGAGACAAACCCACTCCTCACCCTGTCAGTGGCTTCTGGGCAGTCTGGATGTTTGCATTGTCTGGGCTGCTATAGCCAGAGATTTGAGAAACCCTACAGGAGCTTGGCTGAGTCGCAGTAATTTACAGGCCAAAAGAGAATACTTCAGAGTTTATTTTTTTCTATGACTTGGACTCCCCTTTTCTTAATTCACATTTATTGTGTGCTTTTTACATTTTTGGAAACTCTGTTCCAAAACAGAGTAGTGCCAGTCACAGGGAATCTGTTTCTTTATGAGTGAAGACTTTGGCTAATATAATTAATTGTAGGTTTACATTGGGTACCTAGAAATCTGTGCTTGAAAACATGTTTGGTGCAGAATGTGGCAGAATCAGATTCTCCACATTCTTGTGAAAACATCTGTATTGGATTTGAGCAGAGGTCTCATTGGCCCTTGTCATTGGAGTGTTGACATTGATAATCCAGAGTAGTGAACAGTTTGTGATTCTTTCTCTCTGACTTTAGAGCATGCAGAGTGAGTAGCTGCCTCACCCTTATTCCTTGATTACAGATAAGTGTATTTGGAATGATTTGGCCCAGAAAAGTGGTCAGGGATACTGAGTTTTGAGTTAAACATTTTTCTCTAGGAATTCTACATAGAGAAAACTGACATCAAAATGAAAAGTTTTGTTGACATTAGGATAGGAGTACATATCCTTAAAACATTTTTTGAGTGTAAAAATTTTCTGTTTCTAGATGTGTCAACAGGGATCATCTATAGAAAGAGGATTGCAGTCTGTCAGAATGTGGTTCCAGAAATTTTAAGGAAGGTAAATTCATTTTAAAATTTAATCAGATTTGGTGTGACACTGGGTGATTTTCACACAGTCCTGGAAAGAGATGGCATTTTCTGATGTCCAGGCGTGTTAGAACTTTCCCAGTTGGACCTCACAGCTCCTCAGAGGAAGAAAGCACTCTCATATCTACACCTCAGTTTTGGCAGATGCCACGGGAGATAATTTTTTTCCCCCCTCCTGTTTCTGCTTCTCTTTTGTGGAGGGCTCTTAGTGGACATAGAGATGGTCTACAATTATTTTATTTTATATATTTTTTCAATATATGAAATTTATTGTCAAATTGGTTTCCATACAACACCCAGTGTTCATCCCAACAGGTGCCCTCCTCACTACCCATCACCCACCCTCCCCTCCCTCACACCCCCATCAACCCTCAGTTTGTTCTCAGTTTTTAAGAGTCTCTTATGCTTTGGCTCTCTCCCACTCTAACCTCTTTTTTTTTTTCTTCTCCTCCCCCATGGGTTTCTGTTAAGTTTCTCAGGATCCACATAAGAGTGAAAACATATGGGATCTGTCTTTCTCTGTATGGCTTATTTCACTTAGCATCACACTCTCCAGTTCCATCCACGTTGCTACAAAGGGTCATATTTCATTCTTTCTCATTGCCACGTAGTACTCCATTGTGTATATAAACCACAATTTCTTTATCCATTCATCAGTTGATGGACATTTAGGCTCTTTCCATAATTTGGCTATTGTTGAGAGTGCTGCTATAAACATTGGGGTACAAGTGCCCCTATGCATCAGTCCTCCTGTATCCCTTGGGTAAATTCCTAGCAGTGCTATTGCTGGGTCATAGGGTAGGTCTATTTTTAATTTTCTGAGGAAACTCCACACTGCTTTCCAGAGGGTCTACAATTATTTTAAAGGTGTCTTGGACATTTTGCAGGAAGTGACCATGTTTTCTCATCTGTCTGTGGTTAGATAAGACTCTTAGATAAGAATGATCAGAAGTAAACAGATGGTAAATATTTAGTCTCATCTTCAGCAAGGAAGATAAAAGCTTCAGATTCTATGTCACTGTCAGAGAATACAGTTATTTCAGGGACTATAATCTTCTCAGTGCTCTCTCTAAGTCTTTTTGTGTGTATTTCTGTAAAGTAATGGTGGTGATGTTGAAATCTTCATGATAGCAAGTTGTTTTCTCTCTTTGAAATCCTTAAGCATTCTGGTGATTGTTGGCAGAGGTAAGTGGGAATTTTTAATAACATTGCTTGAATCATGGAGGGATTATTGACAAGAGTCCTTTTTGAATCATTAGGAAATAAGAGGAGAACATCTTTTTTTTTTTTTTGATGTTTATATTTATTTTTGACACAGAGAGAGACAGAGCATGAACAAGGGAGGGGCAGAGAGAGAGGGAGACAGAATCTGAAACAGGCTCCAGGCTCTGAGCTGTCAGCACAGAGCCCGATGCGGGGCTCGAACTCACGGACCGTGAGATCATGACCTGAGCCGAAGTCGGACACTTAACCGACCAAGCCACCCAGGCGCCCCAAGAGGAGAACATCTTGATGTGCATTTCTTAAAATGTCTCAGATCATTATTTCTACCCAGAAGTGATTGCTTTGGTGATGTAGAAGCCAGTTAGCTTGCAGGTGATATTGCTGTGCTTGTTTGCTGTATTAGAAAGAGTGATGGCTTCTATCACTTCCTTATCCTGGATTAAGATTCTGTCATATTCTTTGGAGGAAAGAAGGCTGGTATGACGGTGAAAAAGAACTTTATTTTCCAGATGCTAAAATGTGTTGCAGTGAATACAACAAATTATGACTGGCTTTTTCTACAGGGTGTATACCCTGCCTTTGCCCTATATACACCCTTTGAATCTATTATTTAAAAAGACATTCAACTTTGTCTTGTATCTCAATTCTTAAATAATTTAAGGACACCTCTGACTTGTACAGTGCTGCCTTTGTAGTTTCCCATGTCTCCTCCACCTCAGAAAACATACATTTCAAGGTATTGGACAGAGTTTAAAATGAAGAAAATATTTTATCTGATATTGTCTTGCATGTGAGCCCATAAGTGGGCCCAATTAGTGTCCATCAATTTAAGAAGGCCATAACCAGCCCTGGAGGAGACACGAAGGAGGCTGATAATTTGCTTAGTGTTTAGCAGTTAGGGAAATCAGGCCAGAGACTATACAGCTCGCATAAATCCTGGGTCATTTGCATGTCCTCACCAGCATTTAGTAAGGTCATGGTATGTTTGATTATCAAGAAGTCACAGCCATTGGTGAGCCATCATTTGTATATCAGGATCACTTGTCCTCTTAATTATCCAAGACTAAAAGCAACTCTGGATTCCATCCTTCTGTAGCCTTCCTCATTTGAGAAAGCCACCCACTCTCTGTTGGACAGGTGAGCATTTTAAAGGTACCTAGTATCCAGTTGGAAGAGGAATCGTGGCTCAATCCTCAGGAAAGAAACATGGCTATACGGAGTCACTGCCTTACATGGACACAGTATGCATCCATGAAGGAAGAGTCTGTCTTCCGGGAAAGTGTGGAAAATCCAAACTGGTAAGATCCCCTGTGTGTGTGTGTGTGTGTGTGTGTGTGTGTGCGTGCGCACGCGCGTGCGTGCGTGTGTGTGTATTGGGTGCAGGGATGCACATATGAGCTCATACATTAAAAAGTTTTGATTGCATACTTACATCCTCTGTTTACAACTACATAAGTTACACATTATTAATCTGTAATCACACAAGTAGTTAATAAGTAGATTTCTCTATGGGGGAAAATAGCAGCGTTCAACTCCTTGCCTTTTTTTTTCCCTCTATAATTTATTTTTTATAATTTACTTCCAATTAGTTAGCACATGGTGCAACAATGATTTCAGGAGAATATTCCTTAAGCCCTTTACCCATTAGCCCATCCCCCCTCCCACAACCCCTCCAGTAACCCTCTGTTTGTTCTCTATATTTAAAAGTCTCTTATGTTTTGTCCCCATCTTTGTTTTTATTTTTGCTTCCCTTCCCTTATGTTCATCTGTTTTGTATCTTAAAGTCCTCATAGGAGTAAAGCCATATGATATTTGTCTTTCTCTGACTAATTTTGCTTAGCATAATACCCTTTAGTTCCATCCACATAGTTGCAACTGGCAAGATTCCATTCTTTTTGATTGCTGAGTAATACTCTATTGTATATATATACCACATCTTTAACCATTCATCCATCGATGGACATTTGGGCTCTTTCCATACTTTGGCTGTTGTTGATAGTGTTGTTAAAAACATGGGGGTGCATGTGTCCCTTCAAAACAGTACACTGTATCCCTTGGATAAATGCCTAGTAGTGCAGTTGCTGGGTCATGGGGTAGTTTTATTTTTAACTTTTTGAGGAACCTCCATACTGTTTTCTAGAGTGGTTGCACCAGCTTGCATTCCCACCAGCAGTGCAAAAGAGATTCTCTTTCTCCGCATCCTTGCCAACATCTGTTGTTGCCTGAGTTGTTAATGTTAGCCATTCTGACAGGTGTCAGGTGGTACCTCATTGTGGTTTTGATTTGTATTTCCCAGATGATGAGTGATGTTGAGCACTTTTTCACATGTCATTTGGTCATCTGGATGTGTTCTTTGGAGAAGTGTCTATTCATGTCTTTTGCCCATTTCTTCACTAGATGATTTGTTTTTTGGGTGTTGAGTTTGATAAATTCTTTATAGATTTTGGATACTAACCCTTTATCTGATATGTTATTTGCAAATACCTTCTCTCATTCTGTCAATTGCCTTTTAGTTTTGCTGATTGTTTCCTTCGCTGTGCAGAAGCTTTTTATTTTGATGAGGTCCCAATACTTCATTTTTGTCAACTCCTTTCTGATCACCCTGTTCAGTCTTGGGGCCTGTTTGTTCTCTCCAAAGGCAGCGAGTGTTATCAGTGTGCTAAGTATTCTTCCAGACTTTTAAGAGATACCATTAGGTACTACATGTATATTCACAGAGCCTGTATAGCCTGGTTTTGTATGTCTTTTTTTACATAGTTGCTTTCATTCCATGTCAGCCATTGTACACTAATCTTTTTTGCTTAACAGAACTTGATCCATTTAATATATATAAAACCTAGCTTATTCCTTTGTACTGTTGCATGGTATTCAATCCTGTGATTGTTCTACATCTGTTTAAATATTTTTTTTGATAGAGGTTCAGATGGTTTCCAGTTTGTCTTTATTACAGATAGTATAGTATTTGTGAAGCATGTGATCCCTTATTTGTCCTATATGTGAAAGTTGTTAGGTTTATTGAGTGTTATTTACATACAATAATTTTATTGTTCTAAATGTACATTTCAAAGAGTTTTGACACAGTTGTGGAACCAGGACCACCATCAAGCTATAGAACCTTTAAGGAGGATTTTAAAAAGCTATATGCCAAGACTATTCCATGAGGAAAGAATATTCTCCTCAAAAATTGGTGCTGTCACAACTGGATATCCACAAACGAAAGCATTAAGTTGGATTTCTGTCTCACAAAAAATGCAAAGTTAATTCAAAATGGATCAAAGACCTAAATGAGAGTTAAGACTATAAAACTTTTAGGAGAAAACATAGGCAAAAATGTTTATGATCTTGGATTAGGTAGTGATTTCTTATTTTTTTTTTTAACTTTTATTTATTTTTGAGACAGAGAGAGACAGAGCATGAATGGGGGAGGGTCAGAGAGAGAGGAAGACACAGAATCTGAAACAGGCTCCAGGCTCTGAGCAGTCAGCACAGAGCCCGACGCGGGGCTCGAACTCACATACCGCGAGATCGTGACCTGAGCCGAAGTCGGACGCTTAACCGACTGAGCCACCCAGGCGCCCCGGTAGTGATTTCTTAGATGTGACCCCACAGTCCAAGCAACAAAAGCAAAATAGGTGAAATTGACATCAAAATTAAAAACTTTTGTGCTTCAAAGGACTGTCAAGAAGGTCCAAAGACACTCCAGAGAATGGGAGAAGATACTTGTAAACCATATATCCGATAATATATATATCCATAATACATGAGAGTGTATACTTATTGTGATGAGCACTGAGTAACATATAGAATTGTTGAATCATATTGTACACCTGAAACTAATCTAACACTGTATGTTAATTATACTTGAATCTTAAAAAAGTCTAACTAAAACATGGGCAAAAAGTTTGAGTAGATACTCCTCCAGAAACGTAGGTTGATGGTCAACAGGTGCATCAAAAGATGCTCAACATCGTTATTCATCCAGAAGTGCAAATCACAATCACAATGAGATACCACTTCAAGTATGGCTTGATGGCTAGGATGGCTATAATAAAGAAGACACATGGTAACAAGTGTTGGAAAGGGTGGGGAGAAAGTGGAACCCTACACAGCACTGATAGGGATGTGAGTGGTACAGCTGTTATGGAAACCAGTTTTTCAGTGCCTCAGAAAAGAAACAGAGTTACCACTTGACCCAGCAATTCTGTACAATATTGAAAACATACATGTTTTGTGAAAACACAAAAACTTGTACAGGAGTGTTTATAGCACCATTATTCATAATAGGCAGAATGTGGAAACCAAATGTCTATCACTTGATGAATATATAACCAATTGTGGTATACTTATACATGGAATATTATTCAGCCATAAAAATGAAAGAAATTCTGACCCATGCTATAACTTGGGTGAAGCTTGAAAACATTATGCTAAGTGGAAGAAGCCAGTTACAAAAGGCTACATATTGTAGGAGTCATTTTATTTGAAATTTGCAGAATTGGTAAATCCACAGGATGGAAAATAGATTAATGGTTGCCATGGGCAAGGAGGAAAAGAGTCGGCAGTGACTGCTAATGGGTATGGAGTTTCTTTTTGGGGTGATGAGAATATTCCAGAACTAGTGTTGATGGTTGATGGGTTGCATGACTTAGAATAAACCAAAAACAATGAGTTATACACTTTAAAAGGGTGAAGTTTATGGTGAGAGGTCATTTCCCTATAGCCAAAAGTTAACATACCTTTAAAATTTTTTTGTCAATATAATGGGTGAGAAATAATTTCTTTGAGATAGGTTTAAAAACAAAAGCAAAATATAACACGCACCAGGTGTTAATAGTGATTATTGCTGTGAGCTCTGATTTCAGAGGATAATTTACTGTTTTTTGTTATTCTGTATGATTTGAAGTTTTTGTTCACTTGTCATTTTAATGGAAATAGTAAGACTCTCAAGTTCAAATAACTAGAACTCCCAAATCTCAAATCCGTTCCGCAGCCCCATCACTTGTGCAAATCATTACTGTTCCTCATAATTTTGGTCCTTGAGTGATAATTCTAAAATCCTCCAGCCCTACACTGAATGAGTGTGAATGCCACATCTTATTAGCATCTGGGGTGGGTTTGCCTGGAACTACCCCGTAGTTTGTTTTCCTCAGCCTTCCCCAAGGCAAGAGCTACACATAAACATAGATGTTTGGGATTAAGTATAAAAGCTGTGGCCAGAGAATAGAGGAGTTTTTGTTTTTTGTTTTTTTGTTCATGGGAGTAGTAAAAGGACAGAATTGTCTGATTTTATGTAGAAAACAAGTCTTTCATCCGTCTCGTTTTAGCCTCTATTTTCTCAAATATCCAGACTATTGGCTACTCTGATCTGAACCTTTATCAATGATCCATAAACTGATAATTGGCTCCGAGAATCTAAGGAAAACATTCTTCAGGACTTCTTTCCTTTGTGTCTTTTTTAAAAATTATTTTTAAATGCTTTGATCCTAGAAAATGGGATACATACATCTTGTTAAAAATACTAAACAGTTTTGGGGAAAAAAGTTTTCATTACCTAACAATAGTGTCTGTTTACATAATTTTTTTGGTTCATTCCTAATTGGCATTTTATTTATTCATTTATTTATTTATTTATTTATTTATTTATTTATTTATCAAGAGTCTGATGCTTAACTGACTCAGCCACCTAGCCAGCCCCCTCATTGGCATTTAGATTGTTTCTCAATATTTTTGTTGTTACAAATAATGCTGTGATGAAGTCCCTATAATTACCTATTTCTGTACTTACTCAATAACCTTTTAAGGTAGATAGAGCAAAATTGGATTTCTGGGCCAAATGTTATATTTTGATACATATTATCAGATTGCTACATAAAAAAGCTTGACCAATTATACTTTTTTCTTCTTTCTTTGTTATGTTCTTGTCCTGTCCCAAACACTCTCTTTTACATTTTTGAGACACTAGGCCAATATTTATTGATACCTACTGTGTCAAGGTCAAAGCTAGATCCTTCCCCTGCAGTGTTTTAAAGCTCAGGTTAAAGAACTTACCCACGATGAAAGTAAGTTGCCACCAAGGTGTGAGTCCAGGAATCATGGATCCCACCTCAAGCAAAGTGGGGAGGTAGGAATATGGATGTTTATAAAGGATCGATTTACATCAAACTGTAGAGTGCTTTGGATCCCAGGTTATGCAGGAGGGATCTTGTCCATTCAGTAACCAGCAGCCACATGAAGGTTTCTGAGCAGGAGATGATGTGATGATAGTTGTGATCTAGACTCTAGGATACTTGTTTTCTTA